GTAAACGAAAAGAGAGTGTGGGTCGTTCATGTAACAGAGTGCGTAAACTTATAAGATTATCTGCTTGATAAAGTTATCGGTTTAGATGAATACCACTTATATTTCGTTAATAAAACAGAGTAAACAAACTTTGCGCCTGCCAAAATTATTATAACCTCAAATCGCTGGTATTGCCACTTTATTTCACATTTCATTTGCGCTATTATACTCTGTTTACACTATACACTTCTTCTTCTTCTTTTTACTTTCATCTAATTATAATATTATTAACCATTTAAAAGATATGAACAAAAAACTTTTGTTAAATTTCGTTGTTTTCTATGAGCAATTACACCAACAAAGATTCACAAAATCACCTGTTCTCAGTTTTTAAACACTATTAAAATATATAATTTAACTTATTTATTAAAGAAACACATAGTTTTATCAACCTAAGATAGATTATTTTGTTATTAAAAAGAAGTTGACAATCTTTGCGAGCTGAAACGCGAGATTCCAAAATAGCTATAGTGCTGCCACTGTATTAGTATTTCGTAATAATTCACTTTTCCTTATGAGATGTGTGCACTGTTCAATGCTTTTCGGTATCTTCTTTCGTTTAATATATATATATAAATAATGAAAATTTTTAATAAAAAATGGCGCGATTTTTTATTAAAAATTTTCGTTTGCGGCGCTTTTTCCATAAAAATCAATACTTCGTTAAATAATGAAAATTTTCAACCACAAATCGCGCGATTTTTTATCAAAAATTTTCGCCTGCGCTGTGTGCAAAGCTTTTGTAAGGCAGCTAAGGGACTGTCAAAAGTCTAATGTCAATAATGAGCAAACCTTTAATTATTGAATCGTGCTTTTTATTATAGCGAGAAAATTTTACATTTCTGCTGTACCAATTCGTAACTTTTTACTGCTGGAAATTTTTGACAGTTTCTCTGGTGCAAAAGAAGTTGAGCAATTAAAATCAGAAAGTATGCAAAAAAGACCTGTCTTTACTGACATTTATTCTTCTAGAACTAAAAGCCATGCATTTATTAGACGCTTTAGTAATAAAATTAGAACAAAAAAATTGTTCAAAACCGTCAGGCCGGGTTGAAAATTTTCATTCACCTCATAGTTAACAAAAATTTACAATCCGTAGTACTTTGCTATCAATTCGCAAATGCCGTTTGCACAAAAAAGGTTATGAAATGCGTTTTATTTAAATCGTTTAGAAAATGAGTCATTTATGTATACCATTTTATGTGGAATTATTCAATAAATTTCGTTTTACACTATACTTTTTGAAACTATTTGGAAATTATTTGTTGTTTCTTGAAAGCAACCCTGCGTACTTGGAAGGTGTGTGTACCAATAATTTCATCCCTAGCATATTCATTCCCGAGGAAGGCAGTCACCAAATTCAGCGAAGGATGTCAAATATTTTTAAGAAATAATTGTGGTGAGTACATTAGGGGATTTAGGGAAATAAAAAATGGAAAAGTTATGCAGCCCTATTCCGCATTTCGACTCGAATCGAAATTTTCCCCGTTTGGCAACTTTGGTATTCTGCGTTCCGTTTCCTTTCGATCAATCTTCGAAATTTACGATTATACCTATTCTACATTTCGATCGGAGTTCCGTTATTCTAAGTTGCAAATTTGTTGCCGGAGAACGTTTCGATTGTAATTTTCGTTGGTTTAAATAATAAAATTTTAGAAAAAAATTAAGTAAAATATACTGTGCATGATTATGATGACTAAATGAATTTTCTCCATTTTTGTGTTTTCGCAGCGGTAATACGGGCAATACGAAAAATTTGCTCAAATATTAGCAACCAAAAGGGTTATTGCGCGAGGTTTTCAAAGAGGAAGCACAGGCGTTTTTGTTTCATTATCTATAAATAAGACTGTGAAATGCACTGAATATAATTTATTCTTTGTATATAAAATTAATAGAAGTATGTACATACTAAAGGTCTGCATCGGAGTTCAGTTTGCTTCACTGTGAAGTTTTTTTCAAATATGTAAACTACTCATACTCTAACAAAGAGGGCATGGAAGGAAGAGAAGTGAAGATGTTGAGCGCTGTATACATAAAACAAGTACTCAAACAAATTATGCTCCGAAAAAAAGAGGAACATAAATCAGCAGTACCATGCTGTTAAACTTCCACAAAAAATATGCTCCTTGAAGCCATATGAACTGTTGATACGCTAATATAGAGGGACTACATGTTCTAATGAGGAATTCAATGATATCGAGTGGGATGCATATAATACATTTTTTCATACGACTTGTAATATAACAGTCTTCTCGCTCCCACACATAAAATAGGCTCCCTCACTTGTGCAGAATGTTGCTTACTCTAGTTTCTAG